GATTATTGTATTCCTTCTGCCCTGCAGTGGATGCTTTTGAAAATATTTATGTATCCTTTTCAACTCGTTCTTAAGGTTATATAAATATGTATATAGAGAGATATGTCTTAATTTAATATTAACAGTTTGTTTCTAACTCCATATTGAGTTTTTTTGCAAAACATTTATTGGTACATTTTAGATATACATAATCACATTCATCATTTGAACCTGTACATGATATATCTTGCTTCTTCTCTGCGCCCCCCTCCAATGGTCCAAAAGTGCCAGAAGTTTTCAAAAACAAAGCTTAGCAGTTGCTTTACATTCTATGGTCACATTTACTTTTACTAGTGAACTGTTTTTCACATTAGTAAAAAAAAATTAACTGTATTATTTTCTGTCTAGTATTTAGTAATTTTAAGTAATGAAAGATATTTTATTATGCTCTATTTGCATGTTGGTAATTGTAAATGCTATTTAATTTCTCCCAGCCAAATACTAACCAGCGCCAACCCTGCTTAGCTTCTGAGATCAGACAAGATCGGGTGCATTCAGGTGGTATGACCATAGACAAATGTTATTTAATTTCTTTTTTTTTTTTGGTACTGGGAATTGAACTCAGGACCTTGTGCTTGCGAAGCAGGTGAAGGCACTCCTGAGCTAAATCCCCAGCCTAATGTTATTTAATTTCTAATCAAAGGTAGGAATTTTTGTCAAATTTGGTTTATTGCAGTATGTCCTGTGCTTAGAACAATCAGGCATATATTTATCATTTCATGAATTTTTGAGTAAATAAATGAGGGAGACATTTTATTCACATGTAAAGTTTGTTCCTGTTGCATTGTAGTTTTTAAAATCATCTATTTCAAGCTGTGAGTATATTTCCTATTGTTTATTCTGTGAGGAACTGATAAAGATTTAGGATTTAGTTACGTTCATTGCTCCTTGTCACTTAAAGTATTTAATCTACTGCAGTTTTCAGTGTCTCTTTCTTTCTCCCTTTTTAAAATGTCAAGACTTTAGATATAGGAATTATTTCTAGGAATTATAGGATTGTAAAGAGTCTTAGCGCCTGAATGGAAATTTAAATATTAGAGACTATCTTTGAATAACTAAACATTTTCCCCTCTTTTTGTCTTAGTCTGTTAAAACCTTTAACTCAGTTAAAGCTGTCTTCATGTAAACTTTGAAGAATTGTGGAAAATGAGGACAAAAATTAGATTAATTTGTAATTAATTTTTATTTGAGAAATAAAGTATGAGTATGACTAATACTTGCTGTGAGTCATATTTTTATTCGACTTCAGTATGTACCTGCAGAAACAAGGAAAGTGGTAGAGTTCAATTCCTCAAGTAATGTGCAACAATTCATAAGGCCCACACATCCCGAATTATTTCTTTACATTTTTTAAATTAAATATTACTTTGACTTATAGACTTGAATATACTTTGAAAATTTGATACACATATACAGTGTATAAAAATCATGTCAGAGTAATTAGCATTTCTAGCTCCTTGAACATTTTTAAATTTTTTTGATTAACATAATATGCAAATATATTTATAAAGTACAGTTGGATATTTCAGTACATGTATATAATGGTTCATACTTAGGAGTTAACTGTTGAGGGTGATACTCTTAATGAGTGACAAAATTTGCTGAGTATTGAGGTAAACAAAGGATGAAAGGTGGGAATAATTGTACTTTTTGTTTTTACTGAAAATATATGCTGAATAAAAAGGAAGAACACAAAGCCAGTTAATATGAGATGTAATTTGAAGTTCTTTTATGCATTGTTTCTATTCTATAGATTTATTATTGACAGTTATTTCATAAACTTTGGTGTTTCAAAAAAGTAACATGTTTAACAAAATGATTCATTGTTCTTTTTTTCTAATTTTAATCATTATGATCTAAAAGCGATAAATTAAAAAAAAACACACCAAACAGGGTCAGTTCTTGTTTCATAAAGTCCGATCTCTATGTAGAACTGTTCACATTGCCTACTCAAGGATAGCTTTACAGTGACCTCAAAAGAAGAGATTTTCTCCAATTAGATTAAGGAATTAATTAGGTCTCACTCTAAAGAAGAGATTTTCTCCAATTAGAATAAGGAATTAATTAGGTCTCACTCTAGTTCTTTATGCTTTCATATAGAATAGGCTATAAGGGAAAATACTGGAGTCTGTTCTGCTCAAAATACTATGCCCAACACCTGAGATAAATATTTACTGGTAAATACTCTATAGTGATTGAACAAATGTATATGTATAGATTTTAACATGACTTACTCATATTGTAGGACGATTTTCACAAAGATTCCAAGGTCTGACTATATAGATCCTGATTTTGAATATACTGAATTTGAAAAAATAGAGAGGAGACTCCATCGAAGCTACTATTCAAATCATATTAAATATTTAAGACATATGCGCCTGGAGAAAGAAGCAGCAAGGTGAAGATCAATTCCACAGTCATGGTGCCCACAGAGTCAGAATATTTTTCTTTTTTAAAATTTATTATTATTTTCATTGTACAAGTTTGGTATACACACACACACACACACACACACACACACACACACATTAAGGATAAAATCAGAATAGTTAACATTTCTGTCTCCTTAAACAATTTTATAACTTTTTAACATCAATATTGTACAGATTTACTGGGTACAGTGGGATATTTCAGAACAAGTATATAATATGTACTAATTAAATAAGGGTAATTGACATATACATCTCATTATTACTTTGTGTTTGGAGATTTCAAGCTCCTCTCTTCTATTTCATCATGAAATTTATAGATTATTGTAAACTATATTCAACCCACTGTTTTTTATTACTTTCTAACTGTGCTTTGGTACCCATCATCCCATCTTTCTGTATTCTACCTTAGTTCCACCCTTCCTAACCTCTAGTAATCACTGTTCTTTATTTAGGTTGATTTTTCTAGCATCTACGTATGAGAGATAATGTGTGATTATTTTTTCTCTGTGTGTGTCTTATTTAATTTAATATTATATCCTCCAGTTTCTGCAAGTGATAGCATTCTATTCTTTTCATGGCTAAATAATATTACATATAATTATATATATCCTTTATATATATATCTTTTATGTATATCCTTTATATATACATATATATATCCATCCATTTGTTAATAGGCACTTAGTCTGCTTCTGTTTAATACCTATCATGAATAGTGCCCCAATAAACATGAGTATGCAGTTGTGGTAATTGGTATGCTACTTTGGTATGCTAATTTCATTTCCTATGGATATATACTCAGAAGTGGGATTGTTCATAGTAATAGTTCTCTTATAAATTTTTTGAAGAGATTCCATGTTTTTTTTTATAGTGGCTATACTACTTTACATTCCCATCAACAGTGTATTTGAATTCTTTTTGTTCACATCCTTACCAGCATCTGTCATTTTTTGTCTTTTCGATAATTGCCAGTATAACTTATGTGAAATGATAGCCCATTGTAGTTTTAATTCGCATTTTCCTGATGGCTAATGATATTGAGCATTTTATAAATCAGATTGGCCTTTTGAATTTCATCCTTGAAGTATCATTAACCCATTTTAAGGTTATATTTGTTGTTTTGTTATAAAATTAAGTATTTTATGTATTCTATTTATGTATTCTTTGTCAAATGCACAGTTTGAAATTTTTCCCCATTCTGTTGGTTGTCTACTCTCTTGTTTCCTTTGGTGTGCAGAAGCTTCTCAGTTTGATATACTTTCCTTCATTTCTTTTTGCTTTTGTTGCCTGTGCTTTTGAGTTCTCATTTAAAAAAAAACATTGTTTATATCAATATATTAGAGTCTTTCCCTTTCTTTTCTTCTAGTAGTTTAATGTTTTATATTTAGGTCTTTTTTCAATCTCGTATTGATTTTTTATTGGGTGATAGGAGTCAAATTTCAGTCCTTTCCATGTGAATATGAGATTTTTTGCTATTTCTTAGTCTTAGTTTCTTTTTCACTTTTAATGTTTTGAATGACATTTTATTGTACAGGAGAAGTAAAATATTGAACTACTTTAATTATAGTAATTTTCTTTGTTACTGTTTTATTTGGAAATATCATCTGTATGTTTCCCCAGAAGTAGATCTTGAGACAGGGATTTCAGTGCCTGGGATTTATGCAGAGTATGCTTAGAAACTTGTATGCCATGAAGGAAGCCGAATAGGGAAAGAAAAAGAGCTGAGTAAGAATATGTTGCAAATAAGGTATACATTCAGCCTGATGCCCAGAATTTCTGGAGCATAAATTATACCACATTGCTGTCCCTGCCTTGAGCCAAAGGGGCTTGTCTCTTGTGTTCTGTGCTAGTTATTTACTGTGGGCTCCCTCTGAATGTGACAGTGGATTGGAAGTAGAGCACATAACGTACTCTATTAAGTGTTTGAGAAAGGAGTCTCCTTAGCAAAGGAAGATTTCTACAGATTAGTGTACCAGTCTATTTAAGTAGATATGAATGTTGCAGCCATAGCTTACATTGGGGAATATTTGGATTCATAGATTTATTTTCTAAAAGACCACCTCACCTGCTTATTATTATTATTTCAGTAGGAAATGCATGTATTCAGATGATCCTGTAGACATGGACATGCTGCCGGCATCAGGTCTAAAGTCACCCTTACTCTCTCAAGTGGAAATACAAAAGGAATGGTCTTCATTAGAGAGTCTGATCAAAACTCATCGATTGTTATGTACCAGGGAATTAGCTTCCAAGGAGAGAGTGTCCCTGGAGAGAAAGGTATGTGCAGTATTTTATATATTATTTTACTATGAGTATTCTTGAACGATTTTTTGTTAATATTGAATGATGAATTTTGGAAAAATTATTTTTCTCAGATTCTCAAAAGACCTAAATCAAACCCAGCCACTCCCAAGGAAAAACTTGATTGCAGCATAATTTTGACACCAAAGCAAATTCATCAAGTAATTGTTGGTAAGAATATACAAAGGTCTACTATGATCTTTATTTTTAAATAAATATCTGTTAAAGTATAATTCATATTCCATATAACTCATCAGTTTAAAATGTGTAAAAAATACATTTTAGTAAATTTATAGTTAGGCAACACTATCACAATTCAGTTTTAGAATGCTGCCATCATCCTCATGCCTGTATGCACTTACTCTGTATTTCTATCCCACAGCCAAGATGACCGTTAGTAAACTTTCTGTCTCTATAGATTTGTATGTCCTGAACATTTCATATAAATGGAGTCACACAATATGTGATCTCTCATATATTGATTTATTCTCTTAGCATACTGTTTTTAGGCTCTTCCATGTGATAGTACTTATCAGTATGTTGCTCCATTTTATATCTATATAGCATCCTATTTAGTGAGAATACCACATTTGGTTTGTTCATTCACCAATTATTGGAAATTGAGCTATTTCTAGTTTGTATAATAATGCTATAACTATGCATGTAAAACTATTTGAGTGAACATGCATTTTCATTTCTTTTGGTTAGATTTGTAGGTCTAGAATTGCTGGGTTGTGTGTCAAATTTATATCTGACTGGTTGAGAAATTTCTAAAATGTTTTCCAAAGTGACTGCACAAAATTACAATGCCATTAGCAGTGTAGGAAGGTTATAATTTCTCCACATTCTCACCAGTACTTGTTATTTCCTGTCTGTTTGAGTATAGCCATTTTAGTGAGTGTGAAATGCTATCTCACTGTATGTTTGAATTGCATTTCTTTAATGGCTAAGGTGATGAATACATTTTTATGTAATTAATTCAAGAAATGTCTATTTAAATCATATATCTTGTTTGGAGATGTCTCTTAAATCCATTCTATAATTTTTAATTTGAATACTTTCTTAATACAGTATTTTTGGTTTATAGTGGCTTTAGTATTTTGTTGTTGCTATTGTTGCATTCTTAAGTGTCTTATTTTACATTGTAATAGACAAATAAACATTATGTATTATTTTATTTATATTAGTACATATTTGTGTTATATAATGATTACATTTTTGTGAGACGTTAGTACATATATCTGACACATCCTAACTCTTTTACAACAGTTTTCCAAGCTCCTAATCTCCATCTCTGTTCCCCTTCCCATTTGTAAAAGATCTCTCCTACTATTTTCTTTTTTTTTTTTTTGGTACTGGGGATCAAACTCAGGACCTTGCGCTTGCGAGCCAGGCGACGGAACCACTGAGCTAAATCCCCAGCCCCCTATTTTCTATTCTGTATCTTTTATTTTGCCCTTTATTTATAATTTGGGTTTTTTATATAAGAAAAATCATGTAGTTTTTAAGCTATGTGTCTATTTTGTTTCACTTAACATTATGATCTCAAGGTACACCCATTTTCCTACAAACGACTCAAATTTGTCCTTCTTTATGGCAAAGTAGTACTCTATTGTGTATAAATGTCACATTTTCTTAATCCATTCATCTGCTGATGTACATATAGGCCACTTCCAAGATTTAAGTATTATGAATTGTGCTGCTATAAACATGAGTATACATGTATCACTGTAATATGATATCTTTAACCCTTTTGAAAAGAGCTGAATTGAATGGAATTTCTATTTTTAACTTTTTGAGGGCTCTCCATACTGATTTCCATAATGCTTATACTAGTTCACATTCCCATCAACAATATAGAATTCTTTTTTGTTTTTTTAATTAAGTTTATTAGCATATATACATATATATCACATTGGTTGTAGATAATTTTTACCTGTACATAATATATCTTGATTCTTCTATTTTCACATTCCCCTACCCTCCCTTCAACCCGTCTTCCCCTCCATATTTACAAAAGCTTTGTTTCCATTTTTTCCTGTTTTTTTTTCTTTTCCCTTTCTTCCTTTCCTCTTGTCCCCTCCCTAGTTCCTTTTCCTATTTGAACATTTGCTTCCTATTTCACAATATCTATTATACATTTTTGGATATTTACATTTTTGATTTCTCACACTAGAGAAACAGTGTGATATTTACACACGTGTGTCCCATTTATTTCACTTAAGTGTATGTTCTCAAGGTGCATCCATTTACCAAGAAAGTCTAAGGTTTATCCTTTTATGGCTGACTAGTACTCCACTGTATTAAAAAAAAAACACATCTTCTTTATCCATTCATCGGTTGATGGGCATTTAGGCTGTTTCCAAGATTTAGCTATTACAAACTGTGCTGCTATAAACATGGGTGTGCAAATATCACTGTGGGATGATGCTTTTAATTCTTTTGGAAAGATACCAAGAAAGGGAATAGCTGGGTCAAATGGAGTCTCTAGTGTTAGTTTTTTGAGGAATCTCCACACTGATTTCCACAGTGGTTCCAGCAGTCTACACTCTCACCAACAGTGGAGAAGGGTTCTTTTTTCCCCTACAGCCCTGTTAGCATTTGTTATTGGCTGATTTCTTGATAATAACCATTCTTTACGGAGTTGAAATCTCAGCGTTCTTTTAATTTTCATCTCTCGAATGACCAGTGATGTTGAACATTTTTTTCATATATTTATTTGTCATTTGTACTTCTTTGTCTGAGAAATGTCTATTCATTTCAGATGCCCATTTTTGGATTGGGTCTTTAAATTTGAAGAGTCTGATTTTTTTTTTCTTTACTTTGTTATATATTCTAGATATTGGTCCTTTGAGGAACAGCTAGCAAAACTTTTTTCCTACTCTATGGGTTGTCTCTTCACTCTGTTGATGATTTCTTTTGCTGTGCAAAAGCTTTTTAATAAGATAACAGTTGTGATTCTTTGTAATATTTCCTGTGCAACCGAGGTTTTGTTCATAAAATCTTTACCTACACCTATGTCTTTAAGAGTTCTATCATTCTCTCTTCCAGCACATAAGTTGTCTTTAGGTTTTAGAAGTTCTTACAAGTCTAGAGAATGATTTTGGGGATTGAATTTCATTAAGCTTCTTGAATCTGTAGGTTTACATCTTTAGATAATTTTCTTTTACCGTTTCACTTCATTTTTTTCATTAAGTTTATTGGTACATTTTAGGTATACAATATGATGACATTCATCATTGGGAATTTGTAACTTTACATGATATGTCTTGGTTCTTATTTTTTTCCCTATTCCCCTGCCCTCCCTTCAACCCCTCAAGCCCTTCCTATTTACAAAGACTTTGTTTCTGTTTTTTCCTTATATCATATTTATTCCTTTCCCTTCTTTCCTTTCCCCTACGTCTCCCACTTTCCCTTCCTCTTTGGACCTTTTCTACCTTTTTTACATTATCTAGTATACATTTTGATCCTTATTTACACTTTCAGTTTCTCACATCAGAGAAACTATTCAGTATGTATATATGTGTGTCCTATTTATTTCACTTAACAGTATGCCCTCAATGTGCATGCATTTAGCTATATTTTAACATTCTTTAGTGATTATTTCTTCACATACTTTTTATCCTCAACCCCCTTCACTTTGTTTTTTCATTTTAGGACTTCAGTGACATTATTCTCAATGTCTTTGTGTCCTCCTGTTTTCTCTAATCCATTCTATTTTTTCTTTTTTTTTTTTTTTTTCAAATTGGATGATTTCTATTGCTATTTCTTCAAATTCACCATCTTTTAGTCCTCCCGCTCTATTTTGTTATTGAGCCTATCCATTAGTTTTCTATTTAACTGATTATATTTTTCAATATATTTTAGTTTTTTAGTTTTTAGTTTTAGTTTTAGTTTTTAGTTTTGTATATGTTGTATGTCTTTGCTGAAATGCTTTTTCCATTTGTTGTCCATGTTCATGATTGCTTATCCTACCATTTTTGCACTAATATCTTTCAAATACTTGTCAAATAATTCCACCAGCTGGGTCATCTTCATCTTGGTATTTTTTGAGATTTTTGTGATTCTTGGTACAAATAATTTTAGTTTGTACCCTGGTCACATTAAGTCTTCTATTTTGACAAACAATATATTTGGTATCAGAGCACATATTCTAGCCCACATTTGTGTGATATGGTAAAAAGATCAATGTAGTTCACAAGAGTTTTGCCGTGTTATTTTGATTGTCTCTCTTTGTGTACTACTCAGAGGATAATGTGAAACTTGGACATTATTTCACACTGTAATTCTTGTATCAAGACATTTACAACATTTATTTTCTTGATTTTGGTAGGTATTTTTGTGATTGAATTCTAGTTGCAGTGTGCTCTGATCTGATAGTATACATAGGGTAATTCCCATTAGTTTATATTTATTTAAATGGGCTGTATGGACTATTATGTGATACTTTTGGAGAAATTTCCTTGTGTTGCTGAGAAGAATGTGTATACTATTTTAGTAGGGTAGAACACTGTAATATCTACTAAGTCCATTTGTTGGTTCAGTTGTGATATTGCTTTGTTGATTTTTTAATCTCGTTTATCTATTTGTGAAATTAGAGTATTGCAATCACTCACTATTATGTTGGTGTTTATTTGATCTTTTTTTTTTGTCCAGTAGTGTTTATGAAGTTAGGTGCACCAATATTCATTGTGTATATATTTACAATTTGTTATCTCTTCCTGTTGAAATGTTCCCTTAACTAATATGTAGTACTTTTTTTGCTTGTTCTGATAGGTTTTAGCTTGAAATCTACATTGAGAGTAAGATTGATACCCTTGCTTTCCTTTTTCAGGTCCTGATGCATGGAATATTTTTCTATCCTTTGATTTTTAGTCTATAAATTTCTTTGTGAATTAGATATATTTCTTGTATGTAGAAACCCGTTGAGTTTTGTTTTTTGATCCAGCCTGCCAATCTGTCATTTAATTGGGGAGGGCCTTTTACATTGAGAATTATTAGTGAAAAGTACTACCCTTTTTCTCTCATCACATTATTTTTTTATGATTGATTTCTTTTCCCTTTTTGTTTAATTGCCCACCCTGCTTGATGTATTTATTCCACTAGAATTTTGGCATTGTTGTATATATTGACTCCAAGATTCCTTGAGAACTTTTTAGAGTGACAGTTTGGTTTTATGGATTTCTGAAGTTGTTGTTTGTCATGATTTTTTTTTCTATATAAATTTTGGGAGATAGTTTTGCAGGCTATATTAGTCTAGGTTGGAAGTTGTTTTCTTTTAGGGCTTGACGCACTTCACTCCAAGGTCTTCTTCCCTTTAAAATTTGTATTGAAATGTCTGTAGTAATCTAGTGAGTTTAACTTTATAAGTGATTTTTTTTATTTGCTTTTTTCATTGTGTTGGACTTCTGTGATTTGGATTGTGATGTGGCATGGGGAGCTTTTTTCATTGTTATTTGTCATTCAATAAGTCTTCCTTACGTGTGTATTGGGTTTTATTTTCTATACTTGGAAAAGTTTCTGCTATAATTTCTATAAATAGATTTTTTTATTCCATGTGTGCTGCCCTCTAATTTTCCTCTAACTCCGATTGGACTTATGGTAGTGTTAGTGTCATCTAGTAGCGGTTGGATCAATTTTTTTGCTCTCTAGTTATTTGTAAGGTATCTTTTAATCATCTGTGCTTCTGATATGACACTTCTCACATTGGTCACTTGTGTTGTTCATATATTCAGTAGAATTCTTTATCTCTGGTATTTTTGTTTGGCACCTTTTTTTTTGGTACCGGGGATCAAACTCGGGTCCTTGTGCTTGGCACCTTTTTATAGACTCTTTTTAAAATAAATTTGTCCTTATATTTTGAACCATTTGAGTCAGCTCTTCTAATTTTTTATTTGACTTGTTTAATTGCATTGATATATTTGTTAATTCCACTATCTGTTTATATCATGTTTGACCTTGCTGAGTAAACTTCCTCTTGAATCATTCTATAAAGTTCAGCTGTTTAGTGCTTGATTTCCTTTCTGTTGGTATCCCTTGAATCAGGTTTGGGAGAGTATAAATTTTTGTAGGCATTTTGATGTCTTGTTTTTTCATGTTCCTCTGTGTGTGTGTGTGTGTGTGTGTGTGTGTGTGTGTGTGTGTACACACTGAGGTTTGAGGGAAAATGGAGATTTTGGTGTTGGTATGAAGATCTCTTTAGGTTGGTTATGTTTTCCAGTGATGTGACTGTGGCTTTATTTTTTCAAGAGGTTTTATCTACCACTTAAACCTATTCATTTTAATTGCATTGGAGCCAGTCACTGTGTAGTAAGGAGAGAATTCCTACTGGTTATGACACCATCCACAGATTCTACCATACACATCAGTTATAAACACTAAAACTTGTTCTGACAGTTTTGCTCATTATTTAATGTTAGCTTACAGACTATAGTACACTGCTAATAGTGTTTAGTCTGGGATGTGGCAGGAGAAAAGGAAGGGAGTATGTCAGTAACAGGAATAGATAAGAGAAATTTCTCTAGGTGAAAAACAGGTAGGAGTTCAGACTCTGTCCTATGGAGGTGAAAGGAATGATGCAGAGGGAGGGAAGTATAATTACATATTGAAAGAAGCTCTGTGGTTGTCGATACCTGTTAATATATTTGTATTTTGTTTTGTTTGTATCCTCTATGGACAATTCTGATAAGGGTTACCCCAGTATGGCCATGAATGGTACCATGGAAATTAAAGCACTAGTCAGTTTGTATTTTTAATACATACAAAAGCACCTGATAACCTGATATATATAAGTGATATATATATCTCATATGTATCATAAGAAGTTATATATATATATCATAAGAAGTGAAGAGGAAGAAGTGTATACACAAGGGGATTGGAAAAACAAAAAGAGCAAAGGAAGAAAGAAAAAAAGATAAATAAGCAGACATAGTAAAGGAAAAAATGAAAAAATATATTGATAAAGAAGCAAGAAATGAAGAAAAGAAAGAAAAAAGAAAAAAATTAATACAAAAATAACCCAGACCAGATAATCAAGGAAAGAAGCACCCCCATACATCCACTATACCATATAATCAGAATGTCCACACAGTTCCCTTCATACTTTAGTCCTTATTTGATTGCAGGCAGCCAAGGTGATTTTCTCCCTGCAGGCTACATATCCGCCTGACTTTAATTGGTGAGGGCTGTCAGCTTGGCAGGACCTGCCTCCCGACTGGAAGCTGTGTTTTGGCCATGGCCGACTCTAGACCTTTGTCTCTGTTCCTACATCTGACCACCTCAATTATTTTAGGAAAGAGAGGATGTGATGTGATTTGCCTAACCCATGGTTCTCTGTCATCTTTCACCATGACCTCCCACTCCTGCTCCCCTCCCTGCAGGGTAGATCTCATGCTCACACCTATGTCTTGTTGTGTGCTCCTAAAGCCTCATGAATTCTTAGGTGGGGCTTTTGGGAGGTGACTGGATTATGGGGCATCTTGTTGTTTGGAGGGGGGTTCTGATCAAACAGCCGTGTCCCTGTGGGCATTGCCCAAAAGGATCTATTTCCCTTTCCTCCTCCTCC